ACATTTGCTTAATCATTTGAAATTAATTATAACTTCGTTTACCTTAGGCTTCTTATGTTTTCTCTTTTTATAAATTGAACTTATATTTCCTGAAAATTTCTTACAATTTATTTATATGCTGGTATGTCAATTTACAAGTTAATAAGGATTATTATAAATTATGTTTTAATTTTATAACAAATAATATATATATACACATATATAACACAGTTATGTATATATACAACAGAGAAAACATGTTTAATCCTCCTTAAGTGGCTGTTCAGGCCATATTTTCTGAGTAATAGCCAACTCTGTGTTTTATTTTCTTACGAAGATTAGCTGTAATCATTTCCTTTCATTACATTTAAATGTACTAAGCTTAATATTTTATTGCAGTAGCCTGGTTTATTTTTTTCTAAACTTATATTTGCTTTCTTTAATCATTATCACACATCAAAACAGTTTACAAAATAAAAAGCTTATAGAGAAAAACAGTTTCATGCCCCACCCCTTTGAAACCCTTAGTTCTCTTTGCACAAAACAGCTACTTCTCCACTTTTTATTCTTTTTCTTATATGGTGTTTGATTTTCTATTGTAATGGGTGAGAATTTAGTTTTCTTTCTTCTTCTTCCCCATCTACCATCCTGCCAGTACAGTTATAGCAGAATTTTATGTTAAGTCAATATTCAATGTTCACATTATTATCACTGTGTAATTATTGTTAGATGTTGATTACCTATCCTTTCTCATAGATCGTTTTGTTTTTCTTAGAGTTAATGATTGCCTTCTTTTTTGTTTGTGTTCCTAGGTTTCTTTGTACCTATTTTTTACTTTTCTCCAAATCTTCCAGAAGAATTATAAAGCCCTCTCAGTACTATTTCCACATGGTCAAACCTGACAAGTACTCCCACTTTTGTCTTCCTGGACTCCTTGTTCCCGCAGCTGCTTGTCGCAGTGTACTCTGGGTTTCACTTTAGGCCTGCTGCACAGCCATTGTCATGGAACTATTGTTTATTGATCTTCCAGTTGTAGACTCTGTTTCTTATGTTCTGTGTGTTTTTCTTTGTAAACTCCCCTGCTCTGCTGAAGCATGTCTTCTGGTACTTTTCTAAGAAAGAGTGCTTTGGGCGTTATGTTTTTTGGATGTTCACTTGCCACAAATATTTTTATGGACCCTCTTATTGGACTGGTAGTTTGGCTTGGTGTATGTATTCTCAGAGGAAAGTCCTTGTTCTCTCGAGTTTTAAAGGCATTTCTCCAGTCTTCTAGTATCTAGTTTTGCTGTCAGGAAATCCAGTGTTCTTCTGATGCCTATTTCTTGATACATGAAGTATTTTATCACTCTGGAAAATTTCAGAATGTTCCCTTTATCCACTGCTTTGGATGAGTCTTTAAAATCCAATGTGTCTGTAGTTAGTTGTGCTCTTCAATCTGGAGACTTAAAATTTAAGTCCTGGGAAGTTTCCTTGCATTATTTCTTCACTACTCTTCTCCCCTCTGCTCTCTCTGTTTTGATTTTTAGAGTTCTTTTTAGTCTTAGATACCGTATGTACAAAATGGTCTCCTAATTTTAAAAATAATTATCTTAGTTCTTAACTGTTTGTCTGTTTGTTGTAATTGAGCTATTTCTTCAACTTTCTTTCCCATTCCATTGCATGTTAAATTTATATTATCATATTTTAATTTCAAAAAATTTTATCTTATTTTGTGTTTTATTTTTATGGAACCCTGTTTTTATTCTTTCTCAGGGTAATATAGACTTTTTTTTCTTCAGCGTCCTGAATTGTTTCTGTATCTTCTGAAGGGGTGTGTGTGTGTGTATATATATATATGTGTGGGTGTGTGTGTATATATATGTGTATATATACACATATATACATATATACACATATATACACATATATACACATATATACACATATATATACACACACACCCACACATACCATACATACATATACATACACATATAACACTAAGCAGGAGTATATATACACATTTTATTCCTGCTTAGTCTTATCTCTCTTTCCGGCTGGGCGCTTTTCTCAACTGTCTTGTGACCCTGTGCTGGTCTTTAATAATTCTGAGGAAGTCATGAAAAAAGCTGTTGGAAGCACTGTGAGTTCCAGTTGAGGCTGTCATCTGGTGCCCTTCCTTATAGTAAAATGGAAATTTTCCTTTGAAGACTCCAAAATCAGTATCTAAACTTTTATTTTTCTAGAGAAAACTCTTTGACTATCTTGCCTGCGGGTATGTGCACCTGTTTGCTGGCATTCTGGGAGCAGCATCAACAAACAGGACTCAGGGAACCACATTCAGTTTATAGATTTTCATTGAATTCTTCTCTGCTTGGTTCCTTGCTGGTTTATTTCTTTGAAAAATGAATATTTTCTGTTAGTGGCAGAGGGTGCTTGATTTACTGGCTGTGTGTATGTGGGAGGGCACCTGGGAACTTTTTCTCAATTCTATGTATTGAGCTTTCTGCTTCTCTTCTCCCTTGGATGGCACCCTGGGCTCTGCAGGGTAAATGGGCTCCCCTCAGCCTTCCTCCTCAGACACATGGGTGGCACTTTTGCTCTGGTGAGTCTGACATCATCTTCTACCTGCTTTCCATCTGCCACACGTTTATTGGAATATCTCATCCTCTGTTGTTGCCAAGCCCATTCTCATTGTTCCTGTGGGTTAGTAACATTCCAAAGAATATCCCCTCTCCCAGCTTTTTCTTTTTTTTCCATTTTAGTAGGGTTTGAGATTTAGAGGAGATAAAAGCATATGGTCAATTTACCTTTTAACCCAAAATGGGCAGGCTAGTTATATTCTAAGTTTACACAGTTGACTTAAAACATCCCATTTTCATGTTGACTCGCTAATAAATATATTTATTTCTACTTGCATTCAAGTCATATAGGACTCCCTAGAAAAAGTTACTTTGTTTTACAAAAATAAGCAAACCTTTGTTTTGTCCTTCCCTGTCCTGCCCCTCAGTGTTATTTTACTCAATCTTATTAATAGTTATCAGAGTTCTACTTAGGAGTTATACAATTGAAGAATTACTTCCAATTTTTTTTTTTTTTTTTTGAGATGGAGTCTTACTCTGTCGCCAGGCTAGAGTGCAGTGGCACGATCTCGGCTCACTGCAACTTCTGCCTCCTGGGTTCAAGCGATTCTCCTGCCTCAACCTCCCGAGAAGCTGGGACTACAGGCGTATGCCACCACGCCCAGTCAATTTTTGTATTTTAGTAGAGACGGGGTTTCGCCGTGTTGGCCAGGATGGTCTCGATCTCTTGACCTTGTGATCCGCCCTCCTCGGCCTCCCAAAGTGCTGGGATAATAGGCACGAGCCACCACACCCTGCCTACTTCCAGATTTTAAGACCATTTAGCTTTAAGTGAAGCAGTATTTTCCTAGTTTCAAATAAAGAAGCAGCA